CGGTATAGATGGTCATTCAGGAAGTGCCTGAAAGTCCGTCTTCTCACTGCTAAGCCCCCGTCAAATGCTATTCTGAGCTATGCGTTGTATTTATTTATAAATTTAATTCCTCACTTAAAAATGAGAAGCTGCCTTAATTTCTTTTTTGCAGAAAAACTAATTATTGCTCAGGAGTAGATATTTCTTAATTGAGTTGTGGGTCTCAGTTTTATTAGAAAAAATGCTAATGAATATAGGATAATAAACTTGTAAATTCAAGAATCACATTTTATCAAGTTTAAGTATAATCAAATGCAGATTATTCTTTCTATGTTGTTGCAACAGACACAAACATGTCAACTCTTATAAAATATGGAAAATATGAACTATTAAACTTTTTTGTTAATAGTGCCTTTTACTAATTTTATTTATTCCAATAATTCTTGCTTAATTTGTTCTTTTGTACACTGCTATTCAGTAAATCATTTACATTTTATAATTAAGAAATATGACTAACCTGGAATATGGAATATGTAACTAGGCAGAAAGTCCCCTAATTTTAAGGAATGGATCCAGGTTAGGAGTTCACGATCTATTTTTATAAAGTCTTTAGGTTCTAATAATGAGAAGATAACGCAGTATATTGCTATATGATTTAATTATAAGTGTACTGTATTTTTCACACTATAAGACACAATTCCCTCCCCCCCCCAAATGGGTGGAAATGTCTGTGTCTTATAGAGCGAATATTGCAGCGGGAGGAAGGGGCTGGTCTGCTGCCTGACACTGCTACTGCCATTTGCCACCAACAGGGAATGCTGGAATCTTCACTGCCAAGCAGCTGATCAGCCGTTGGATCAGTATCCTGGAATACTGCCTATCAGCTGTTCTAGGCGGTGGGGATCATTCAGTGATAATTGGCAGTGGCAATAGGTGGCGATAGGCAATGACGACCCCTCCACTTAGAACAGCTGATCGGCGGTATTCCAGGAGTCCGATACAATCACCGATCAGCTGCTCGATAGCAAAGGCTCAGCTCAGCTGACTGGTGGTGGGCTGCAAAGGAGCGGAGCTCTGACAAGCCATGTGCTGGGGCTGCAATAACGTGCTGAAACTGACCACGCTGTTTGCTGTTTCCTTCAAGGATGCTAGTCAGATGAATATCAGATGGATGTTGGGAGGCAGAGGCAATTTTTTTTTCATTTTTGTTTTCTTCCTCTAAAGTTAATGTGTGTCTTATGGTCCAGTGCGTCTTATAGTATGAAAAATAGAGTAATTCTTGAAGTAATTCTATATAGGTATTTATATTTATTACATTGACCTAAACATTAGGAGACTCTGACTTCCAGGTGTCCATGATGCATGAAAGCTGCCTGAGTGGCTTTGAGTCAGTCATACTTAGCTGCCTCACAGGATTGTTATTTTGTGGGAAAACAGGAGGCAGGAATATTAGGTATATTTACTGCTTGAGTTGACCAAATTAAATAGAGTAAAAATATAAGGTTCAATTTTTTTCTTATGTATATTTTTTTCTTTTACTATATATTCATGATTTAATGTAGACTATTTTGCATTTCATTATTTCATGAATACACTTTTTTTTAAAAATGCTTCTACTACTAAGTACTAAGAACTAAGTATGCTACTAACACTTCCAATGGGCCTATTCAGTTTATGTTACTTCTGCTGTGTTGGGACAGTTTCAGCAGATTGCTTCCCATACTGTTCTGAGAAAATGAAAACAAGATTTGCATTGCATTTTGTGCTGAGCCAAACTTTTTTTTAAACCAAGTATAGAAAATAAAATATGTTAAATTACCTCCCCATAATATGTCAAACTTTGTTTTACAGACTACAGTATCTAGATCTATGTATCACACTAAGCCACTAAATACCCAGGGCTTAAGTGATTTTAACATGGAAAGTATGGTAGCTGCTTCATTGAGTCTTTCTACTTAGATCAAATGGATATATTTGTGTGACAGATAAAATACGACATAATGCATACCAGAATTAATAATGCTGGAATTGTATTAGTTTGGCCTGTTCTTAGGAAAAAAGGACCATTAAATTTGGTATTGGCGTTTTATGTAAAAGTGCAAGAGACTGCAGTATTAATTAAAAAGCTAAGCTTTGGATGAAGCATATCTTAATAAAATAATTTTAATAGTTTTCTTTTTTTGTTAACATATTGTTTGTTTTAATCATGCTCAACAGTGAAATAACACCTGAAGGAAGAAGAATCACAAAACTGGATCAGATTCTGCTGAATGGAAACAATATAACTATGGTAAATAATTTGTGCTCTGTAGTTTCTTCCTTACATTGTTACTTATCAGCTCAAACAGCTCATGGAAGACTGGTTTTTTTAATTGTCATGAACAACATTTGGAAAATAATATTATTACAAAAATATAATTAGGGTATATTGATGCAACAAGTTGGAGCAAGAATGAACTTTGGCATTGTTCAGGATTCCTGCTTCAGGGAGGTAAAATTTTATTACTGTGTTTCCACCCAAAATAAGCCCTAGCATGCTTTTTCATGCTGACCAGAATATAAATTCTACCGCCAAAATAAGCACTAGTTCAGAGCATCATTAGCAGGGGGTGAGGAAGTGGGTGTGGCCAGTACAGGAGATGGAGAGCATGCACGTGGAGTCCAATGGTTTCTAGAAGCAGCTGCGGCCTGCACAGCCCAGTCCCTCCAAGCAGAAGCATGGGGCGAAGCACGCCATCCATCCTACCGTCTGTCTTTATTTGTGGAGTGTGTAGCGGAATTGGAGGACGAGGTTGGATGGTGAGGGCTGAGAGCACAGGAGCCACGTCATGGCACCACCACCGTCCCACTATTAGCCTCACCTCATGGGGGTGGCACTGTCAATGGCTTGCAGAGGTTGGGGGAGGCACACAATCCGGCCCATCAGACATGCCTCCCCCCACCCACCCTATGCCTCTGCTTGTTGTTGATGCCGCTGCGAGGCAAGGCAGATGGTGGGGCAGGGGTGGCACCATGCTTTGGCCCCTGCACACTCGGGCCCTGCCATCCAACTTGTTCCAGCTCCACCACACACTCCATAAAGACAGTAGGATGGTGGCTGGGAATGATGTGGCTATTCATCCCTCACCTCAGAAGCAAGGGGAAGGAAAGGGAGAGTGGTCACTTGAGGGCTGCCTCTGCCGGCTGCTCCCCAGGCTTGTGGAAACTCGGCGTTGAAGGAAGGGTCTGTTTCTTGCAGATTTTTCCCAATTCTCCCATCCCTTTGAACCTCGCATCCTCCCTTGGAGGGAGATGGAGGGCTACCCTGGGCTGAAGCAGAGGAGAAAGGGTGGGGGAGAAGCCATGCAGCTAAGGACAAAGGAATTGCCCGCCTTTCCACGAGACTTCTCAGAAGACACAGGGTGCAAATGTAAAAGCTGTCCCTTCCAAGTCAGCAACAGTGTCTGGGCTCTGGCAGCAGAGCTGCTTAGCCATCTCCCTGGGAGTGTCTTGCCAGTGTCCCCTTGATGCCCCCCCCCCCACAGTTCCCAGGGAGGGGGACAGGGTGAGAGAGAGCAGAGGGGAGAAGCAGAAAATGCGGCCCGGACTCACAGCGCTTTGTTTTGATTTGCATGCCATGTCTCTTTAGAGGCCTTGTGGAAAGGTGGATGGGCCCCTTAGAGAGAGAAGCTAAAGACAAGGGGCTTGCATGCCTCTCTGCGAGATCTTTCTCTGGGCCCGGCGAGCTCAAGTAGTACTTAGCCTAGAATCATGGATCCCGTTCCGGGATGCATGCGACTCTACAGCGAAGGGATTGGTGATGCCGTACCGACGCTAAAGACTTAAGTCAAGTCAAGTCAAGTCTGACGTGTGACGTGTGACATGTGACGTGTGACAAGTGAAGCGAAGTGTGAAATGTGAAGGGTAATGTGTGATCTGTGAAGTAAAGTCAAGGGTGAAGTATCAAGTCAAGTCAAGTCAAGTCTGCGAGATCTTTCAGGAGACACTATGTGTAAATGCAAAAGCTGCTCCTTCCAAGCCAGCAGCAGCACCTGACTCAAAACAAAGTGCTGCAAGTCTGGGCCCCCTACCTGTTTGATCCCCCCTTTTTGAGAAACATTTCAATACAGTAGCAGGTCAAGCCAGGTGGAATGGGACTGTTCCCCTCATGTCCTTCGCCCCAACCGATTCGCCCCCAGGGTTCTGCCCCCAGTCATTGACCTCTACCATTTCGCCTCTGCTGAAAAGACGTTAGCTGTTTGCCTTGAGCAATGGGACCCAGCCTCTTCAGTCCAAGAACCTTCCTCACTGGCCATTAGGCGAAATACTGCTCATCCCGGCCTTTTGGGCTCAGGAGATTGGCCCTTCCTCTGATTGGCCACCAGCCAATCAGAGGAAGGGAAGGGAGAAAGAGAGGGAGCAAGGGAGAAAATGTTCTGTGTCGGGTTTCCTCTCTAGGGTTTGTTTTTCTGCCAAGTCACCTCAGTCCAAGCTAGAAAACCATTTGCACCACCCTCCTTGAAATGTGAGAGGACAACACAAGGGCCACAGGAAAATTAAACTCAACTGGATTATGGTGTGGAGGTTGCATTCCCCCACTCACTTGCTTGAAAACTGTTTGCATCCCGCCTCAAAATGTGACATGACAACACATAGTTGAAAAGACAGAAGGTTTTTGGCTCTGTTACTTTGATTCAATCAATTATCATTATCTTCCCCAACCTCCACCCCCCAACCTGGTTGCATTTAACTTTCCTGTCACCCTTGTGTTGTCCTGTCACATTTTGGGGAGGGGGAATCCAAAGGTTTTTCAAGCAAGTGGGGCAGGAATCCAAAGGGTTTTCAAACAAGTGGGAGGGGGAAAATCCAAACTGTTTTCAAGCAAATGGGGGCGGGGAATCCTCTCTGGGGTTTGTTTCTCTGCCCAGTCACCTCGGTCCAAGCTAGAAAACCATTTGCATTTCCCCCCTCCCCCCAAAATGTGCTGGACAACACAAGGGCCACAGGAAAATTAAACACAACCGGGTTGGGGTGTAGCGGTAGCATTCCTCCTCTTGCTTGCAAACCCTTTGAATCCCCCCACTTGTTTGAAAACCCTTTGGATCCCCCCCCCACTTGCTTGAAAACCCTTTGGATCCCCCCCCACTTGCTTGAAAACCCTTTGGATTCCCCCCACTTGCTTGAAAACCCTTTGGATTCCCCCTCCCCCCGAAATGTGACAGAACAAGAAGGACCACAGGAAAGTTAAACAAAATCGGGTTGGGGTGTAGAGGTGCAGAGCTGTTGTGGAAGATAATGATAATTGATTTGAATCAAAATAACGGAGCCAACAAACCTTCTATCTTTTCAACTATGTGTTGTCCTGTCACATTTTGGGGTTGTGGGGTGGGAATGCAAATGGTTTTCAAGCATGTGAGGGGGGGGGAATGCAACCTCCACACCCCAATCCGGTTGTGTTTAATTTTCCTGTGGGCCTTGTGTTGTCCTCTCACATTTCGGTGGGGGGAGGGGAATGCAAATTGTTTTCTGGCGTGGACCGAGGTGACTCAGCCGAAAAACAAACCCCAGAGAGGAAACCCGACACAGAACATTTTCTCCCTCCTCCCCCCTCTCTCTTTCTCCCTTCCCTTCCTCCGATTGGCTGGTGGCCAATCGGAGGAAGGGCCAATCTCCTGAGCCCAAAAGTCCAGGGTGAGCAGTATTTCACCAATGGCCCATGAGGAAGGTTCTGGGACTGAAGAGGCTGGGTCCCATTGTCCAGGGCGAACAGCTAGGGTCTTTTCAGTAGAGGTGAAATGGTAGAGGTCAGTGGCTGGGGGCGGAACCCTGGGAGTGAAGGGCACGAGGAAAACAGTCCTAGACCCAGGTGTTATTCAGATCACATCCCAGGCAATACAGAAACAGCTATGCCTTATCCCTTCCAAAACATGCTGGGATGTGATCTGAACCCCCCCCCCCCCCAAGCTTGACCTGCTATCAGTATTGAAATGCTTCTCAGCTCTTCCCAAATGTGTTACATCAGCCGCCAAAATGTGCTTGCAGCGGCTGCTGGACACAAGTGGGTAGCCCCATGCGTCTGCCTGCTGCCAGTGCTGCCTACAGTGGTCCCAGTTCTGCAAGCGAGTGGTGAGCATGTCTAAAGCGGGACTCACCCACCACCCCTTGCACTGCAGGGAAGCAGCAAAATGTAGAGGAGCCATCCTCCCTTTGGGAAAGAGCCGGGAGGTGTTTCAATAACAAGTCAAACCAGATCTTATTCAGATCACATCCCGGTGTGTTTTGGAAATGAGAAGTTATTGCTGTGCTGGGGTTTGCACAGCAGCAGCAACAGACTAGAGGATTTATTTTAATTTTATATTTATTTTTATCTCCCTCCCAAAACAAAACTTTCACTTCTTTTTTCTCCAACAGTTGGTTCCCGGAGGAGAAGGACCAGAAGTATAAATATTCATTTGACATCACTGCAAGAAGTTTCGTTGCATATTTTGTGTTGAAACATATTCCTAGAATATGTTCTGAAATTTGTTAAATTTCTGTTCTTATATTTCATAGTGATATTTAAATATAACATAGCTCCCTTTTCAAGGATGCGGCATCTTTAATAATAGTTTTGTACATTAAAATCATGACTGTTGTAAAAACAAAATTAATTTGCCATTAGGGGCAAGAAAATAAAATGTTTTTTTATTCTGACTTGTATGTGGTTTAAGTAAGAGCATGGAATCAAGTAGATGTAGTTATTTTGAGCATTTCTACTTTGAATTAAGGCATTACAGGGTTGGGAAACAGGGATTTGGGGAGCGAGTGGCTAGTTAGTATTTTAAATAACAGAAAAAATACCATTAAATACATAAAATAATAAAATCGTGATTCCAAAAGCCTATTTGGGGTTGGTAAAGGGGTTATTTCTCTTATGAGTTTTCCTTTAATTAATTTTTGTACCCAAAAGATGAGACTATTTTCTCCTTGAATGAAAGCAAAGGTTGTTATTTGAGGAAGTAATAAATGAAAGGGAGAGATTTTGGTATAGGGCACTAGTCTAGAAGATTGATCAGGTAATCCTCACTTAGCAACCATAGTTGGGACTGGCAACTTGTCAGAAATAGTATAGGGTCTCCTGCTTGAGCATGTTGGACTAGATGGCCTACTGTAGAAGATCCCTTCCAATTGTTAATCTAAACTCTGTTGTTATTAAATTCTGGGATTGCTGCGTGACAGATGTCTATTGCAAATTTAACACATTGCTTTCAGGTTGGTTGTTAAATCACTGTGGATTGTTAATCAAAACATCATGTGACTGCGACTTGCATTTTTACTGCCAGCTTCTCCATTGACTTTGCTTGATGATAGCTGGTTGTGAAGCATTCAAATGATGATCATATGAGTGTGAGACACTGACAGTCATAAGTATGAGGACTATCATAACTTCAGTGCCATCATAACTTTAAATGGCTACTGATGGGAATTGTTAAGTGAGATCTATAGTACTTGCTTCAATTAAAAAAAGAATGTAATAGGAATGATCAGCCTTTTGAATTTTAAATTGCTTTGCATTACACGGGGCATGTACAGATTGTTGATCAGGAATTCTTTAGTTTCAAACATATTTTTCCAGAAAATGTGCTGTATCTGCATGATCCTAGGAAAAGATGCAGCTGCTTTAAGGAGTTGCTGATAGATGCCTTTGAGCACCCATACATACTCTAAAGCAGCATTCCCCAACCTTTCCGGCTTTGCAGACTGGCAGGGGAGGAGAGTGGATGGTACCACACAAATGGCACATGTCGCTCCATTTATACAAGCAGTGGGCTTTACAAATGCAGGCTCCCCCACCCGCTGCTTCCATGGCCTAGTTCCAAATGGGCCACAGGCCTGTAGTGGACCATGACCCAAGAGTTGGGGATCCCTGCTCTAAAGCACCTGTTCTCCTTTGTATCCAAAGTACATTTTTGTCATCAAATTTTCATGTATTTGTTTCATGCCTAGTAATTTTCTTACCATCCGTCCAAAGCTGTCATCCTCCATGATTTTGCTCCCTGTCTAAACAATCATTTGACAAATCCAGTTACACAAATAAAAGGAAAGAACTGGTGTGTGTGGAAAATCTTAGCCCTTTTTAAAAAAAAATAGAACTTATTATCCTGCAACTCCAAACAACATCTGTTTGTTAAACTATAAGAAATCTTACTTTCTTGGAGAAGATGTTACATGTTCATGGGAATTAATCTTACTGTGTTTCATCCTCTCCATAATGATGAAAGAGAAAGTTTGCTGGTATGTTCTATAAGTCCTTTTCTTAAATCTGTATGCTAGGTATACACGTAGATTAAATTATAATAAGACTAGTTGATAACCCAGTGTTGCCCAGGTATTTATAGACATCATAGCATTTGTCTGACAGGGAGCCATTGGGACGGGCCTTACCCCTATTCCTATGCCCATTCCTGCCCTCTCCCTTCCCCCTCCCATGTGCTCCTCTTCCCCACCCTTTTTATCATCCTGGCAACGTTGCCCCAAATCCACCAGGGAGCACTTTCTGTTAAGAGAAGGAAACATCAGGCGCTTCCCCATTAGCATTCACTCTTCTTAATGGCCCAGGCAATCCATAGTTATGCTGGAACACACACACACACACACACACACACACACACACACACACGTGTTAGAGGTGTTTTGCCACCACAGTATCGGGAGCCATTGGGAGGGGCTTTGGGCCTTTCTTCCCCCTATTCCCATGCCAATCATCCATGCCCTCACTGTCCTCCCCCATGCTTTCCTCTTTCCCGCCCTGTCTACAATCCTGGCACTTTGCCCCAAATCCATCAGGTGCTTTCCCATTGGTTCACTGGAGGGCGAATGTCATGACTGGCTTTCCAGAGTAAGCTGTGAAGCAATTGACATCTCAAACAATTCCCACTGTAGAACATCACAATCACTCTCCTTAACGACCCAGGCGTTTCACGGTTATGCTGGAACACACAGACACACATCCCAGGGGTTTCTTACCCCCACAGTATTTTTTCCCAGGGAGTAAGTCATCTGTGTAGTAAGTTTGGTTAAAATTGCTTGAGGTGTTCTAGAGTTATGCTGGAACACACAGACATGGCCCCCTGGGGGTTGCAAGGGGTGTCTTACCCCCATAGTATTTTTTTCCTGAGAGTAAATCATCTGTGTAGCATACTTGGTTAAAATTGCTCGAGGCATTCCAGAGATGCTGGAAAAAATATACATACATACATACATACATACATACATACATACATACATACATACATACATACATACAACCTTTTTATATTAATAATAGAATAGTAATAAAATAGGTAGACAGACAGACAGACAGACAGATAGATAGAAAAAGAATGTTTAATTTTCTTGAAGCTATTGAAATAGAAGAGTTCTGAGTTAATGCAGGGGAAGAAAAGCTTGTTGGTACTTTAGAATCAGGCTATGTCATTTAGAAGGAAATTGCTTACACACAGTAAATGTAACAAATGAAAGTAAACTGCAAAATAATGCAAAACAGACTCAGAGCTGGAAAAGTGACTTTGAAATCTGATAAAAATTGATTGAAATTCCTTGCCTTTTCACTGAAAAAAAGGAGGGCCCCTTTCAGTTGAATCTTTCAATCCCTTGCATTTGCTCCACTGCATCCACTTAAAAAATTCTATTTTCTAAAGTTCTAGTGTTTGAGCTTTCTGCTTACTCTTTCATATTTATTTAATAACTTCTCACTTTTCTCCAATTTTCACACATCCTTAATTCCTTTTCTTTAGTCCCTGATCCTTATTATCAGCCACAAACAACCTTGTAATTCAGTCAAATGTCATTCAGTTCCCTTCCAGCATATAGTAATGTTTGACTGGGAGCCATTAGAAAATTTGCGACATAGCAACTCAGCCAGTAGTTTAGGTCAGGTAAAAAGCAGTGAGTCAATTTTAGTCTATTGTATGCATGAGTGGAAGTACAATAGTATCAATGCCATCTCTCATATGTGAATGATGTTCAAAGGCACTATAGAACTGTTAAAATTCAATTTTGAATGTTTGCTTTTATTCTACAATAAGTTATATGGTTTATGGAACATTAAAAACACTGTCATGGTAACCTGTTATCAACAAAAACATGGGAAATCTGAGCTGCCCAAAATAAGGAAACACTATGGAAAAAATAAGCCCAAGAGAAAAGCATGTGGATGATTCATACAGTCCACATTTGTGCAGTGTTAATAAGAACATGGTGATTGTCTCCTGATAGCTGTTTGTTAGGCTCTGCTAATAAGAGATTTATTTATGTCTTATAGTTCTTTCAATTGCAGTTGTTTCAGAAGACAAATGAAAAATTAAACTTTGACAGTATTTATTTTCCTGGTTAAAGATTGGCACATAGATTTGAAATGAAGACTTATGATTTACTCTAATAAATATTGTTTAGTAATGGATAGGGATATCTAGTTGAGAATACTTTGCTCTTACTATGATTGTATTACATAATTCTTTTTCTGTCCAGGAAGAAAATTACCTCCACAACAAAAAATAGAAAACATGGACTCATATTTTTTGTGAAAGACAAAAACGTGTCTGGTTAGCAAAAGCTGGTTAAATCTGTATTTTAGGGGCTTTAAGACTTAACAGGAAATTATGCTTTGGTTTCTTCATATTGTGCCCTAATTAAACTGCCATCTTGTACTCTCAGCTCAATATTGAGTGTTTATTATATCTAGAGTTTTTACTTATTTAGTTAAATGATGTTAATCACAAACAAGGCCACACCGCTATGGGATATTTTGATCATGAACTATCATGGAACACATGTCTGTATACTAATATGCTATCTTTTCTCTGCATGGATTCTTTCTAAAATATTAAATTAACTATTATTTGGAGATTCCTGGTCACAGAAACATAACTAATTTGCATACAACTATAAGGATGTTCTAAAAGACAGTGCACGACTTTTGGGATAGCCTATATTTCTTTGATTAGTAAAAGAAGTAACAGAATAATAGAGTTGGAGGGGACCTTGGAGGTCTTCTAGTCCAACCCCCTGCTCAGGAAACCTGTCTCATTGCTCAGGAACCCCTATACCATTTCAAACAAATTGTTGTTCAATCTTTTCTTAAAATATTCCAGTGTTGCAGCATTCACAACTTCTGGAGGCAAGTTGTTCCACTGATTAATTATTCTAACTGTCAGGAAATTTCTCCTTAATTCTAGGTTGCTTCTCTCTTTGATTAGTTTTCATTCATTGCTTCTTGTCCTCCCTTCAGGTGCTTTGGAGAATAGCTTGACATCTCTTCTATGTGACAACCCCCATTAATGATAAAATGTTGATTAACCTGATTATTTATTTGTGGATATGAAATTCATTGAAAATAATATTAGCTGAACCAGAATTATTAGATCAGGTAAACATTACTTTTATGCATGAGGCAGGAATCTAATATTTAACTTTAATTGCTTTTCTCAATATGGTGCCCTCTAGATCTCCTGAACTAAAGCTGTTAGAATTTTTGGTCAGCTTTGTCATTTGGAAGAAGACCAGTTTGCAAAATATACTAAAGCTTCACTGATTATTTGTCCCACATATTTTTATTTGGGATTAGTTTAAACATTGTTTGCTAAATGTTATGCTGCCTGCTTATATAACTCTCCATAGCATTTTTTTCTAGTTTTGATTTTCTGGTTTTGTTTTATTTCTATATGCTGTACCTGTCAATGACTATAAATAAAATTACTACTATTGTGTGTACAAAGATTTATAAATCTCATTGTGCCTAATAATAGTAAGCAAGCAATAAAAAGACAACAGCATTACTGGAAGGAAATTGTAACCTGAACCCAATCCATATAAAGTAAAAACCAGAAACAAGCTGTGTTAGTAGAAATAACAGCATGATTAGATATAATTCAAAAATCATTGCCCCTTGTGATGAAATACCAGTCTACAAATGCAATAGTGAATTCAAGCTCATAATGGATAGCAATAGATAATTTAAGCCTATAGCTCAAAGAATTTGCATACATTGGGATATAGCTCAGCTCGTTTGTTTTTATTCTGCTATTAATTACAAATTATACTTTTCATGCTATGTTTCCATGAGTATTTTTAAGAATGGTTGCTTCACCTGTTTGATATTAGTGAATGTGGGTTAATATTTGTTCTAATCAGATAAACACATTTTCATTTCCCAAGAAATATGCCTGTTTTCAAACACAGTTCCTTGAATGACACTGAATATAAGTACCAAATCAGATATTATTTAACTCAATAAAATTTCTTTATTACTTCATTGCTTGAGAAGATGATTTTTAGATACTAAGAAGACCTTTTAGGGCATTGAAACAAAAAAAGGGCCATAAGTCGTAGCATCCATTTCTATATGGTACGTTCGTTGGTTTTTTTCCTGAGACATCTAGCTTGGACCGAAAAATATTCCTTTTTGAAAACAAAGAGCCATTATCAAACAAGATAGATAATTATCAATCTAGTTGATGAATTATCTCTGTTAAAGTAAGGC